TCAAGAAAAATAAGAATCAGAGAAGAATTCAAGAAAAGCAAGAATACAAGAATCTTGTCTGGAGAAGAAGTTCTTGCCTCACCAGCCAAGATTCGGTCTACACGAATCTTGTCCGAAAGGCAAGATCAGTTTTTTTCAGGCAAGAAACTTGTATAGAAGGAATGGAAAAAGAATCCTGTCTGAAAACCAAGAAAAACAAGAACCTGGAAAGAATAGGGCAAGATCGTCGACTAGTGCGAATACTTTACTTCTCCTTCCTGAATGATTCAGCAGATTTCTCTCTTGGGATTTTACTTACAAGCTGATGGTAGGCGTGTTTTCTACATTTCTCAATCCACACTTGCCTAAGGTCTTATCGTATTACTTTCTTTCTACTTTTGATTTTTTTCTCTATCCTCCCATATATATATTAACTTGAGAGAGCAAGTTAAAAAGCAGAGCATCAATACAGGCAGTCGCATACGTTTAACATTAGTAGTGGCGTAACCAGCAAATTTTCGTAGAGGGGGCTCAGCCCCCTAGCCCTTGGAAAGTAGAAGAAGGCAATTTTAATTCAACTGTAACAATGCACGAAGCCAATATCTGAAAGCGTTTACTTTTTATTAGCTATAATTCAATTAAACACGTATGTTATGAAAAATATCGCCTTTTCTGTGTTATACTAATTATTGTATTGTATGTCTATTTATTACAATTTTGAATTTGAACATGTTTAGATTTAAACAGCAAACGCTAATGCTCTCTCTTCCTTTATTCTTTTAGAGAGAAGCAAATAAACAACACTTCATCTTTTAGATGGCAACAATCTAGGTTATTGAAATTTCAGATAGAAAATTTCGTAGAGGGTGCTCAGCCCCCTTTGGCCACCCCCTGGTTATGCCACTAAATAGTAGAACGATACACAGAAGTTTATACGATTATATTTATTGAGAGTAGTATCTAGAATCTGTTAAGAACTATAAAGGCAGATGTTTTTTTTCCTAAGAACGTGCGAACAAAAGATGAGATTAGTCTCAGTTGCACACGATCTCTAGGGGGTAATCCCTTTTCGTCCCTTTTTTTACGGACATCAGTCGTAGAAGTCCATTCCGAACTTCAGTTTCTTTGAAAATGTCCGATGTTCGGAATGAAAAGGCTAGAAGGTCGGAATGGAAAATACCGGATGTTCGGAATGAAGGTCGTCTAGATGTTCGGAACGGAAATACAGGATGCTGGGAACACAAAGTGACGGATGTTCGGAATAAAAAATGACCAACGTTCGGAACGAAAAAATACAGGATGTCCCGAACATAAAGTGACAGATGTTCGGAACAAAAAATGACCGATATTCGGAAGAGAAAAGAATTTTTTTAATAACATAGTTTATTTTCTTTTATTTCCTGGCATAGTCTTTCACAAAAAATGGATAGGACAACAAAAGTTTATACAAGTGAGAGAATAAATAACTTTTGTGAGAAAATTTTTTTTTATGTCTAATGTTTTTTGAAGCATGTCTTGTTTTTTTTTCATTTTTGGAATTTGTTTAATATTGGCATCATCTGTTTCGTCTACTTTTTGGTTTTTCTTGAGGGTGTTCTTTTGATTGATTATGTCGAAGATCAATTGGAGAAGGAGAGGCAGAACGATATGCGGTCGAGCGTGATTTTGCTCGGGTACGTAGTTTTGCATTATTATATTTGATGGGCGGAGGAGCAGGAGAGGATGTAACTATTGCTGTGAGACCAATGCACTTCGATCTCGTAATAATACCCATCTAAAAAGCAGCGAAGCGTGCAAAGAATAATGAATATATATATACACATCCTTTCTTTTTTCCAAGAAGAACAGCTACTATGATCATTATATAATCCACCAAACCAATTCAATATGTTGCGCGAGTCATCGTTCCAGCAAATCATGTTCAAGATACTACCCTCTATAAAACAGAGAAGCTTATAGTTTTACTACTCATTCCCACTATAAAACATACACCAAAATTAATTCACAACATCCTGTATTTTTTCGTTCCGAACATCCTGAAAATCGATTTTATTTTTACATCCGATTTCGAACATCCGGTTATTGGAGCGGATGTCCGGAAGAGTGGGGACGAAAAGAGATAAACCCATCTCTAGATTACCATTGAGCATATAGCAATAGATATATTCTCTCATTACATGTGAAGGTGCATTTGGTATGCACACGAGAAAAGTTTCTTCTGGTATAAACACATGGAACCATACTTAGAGAACGCTTGATAAATGCGGACTTTCTTAAATAAACACTTTTTCAAATGCGTCTACTATTTATCTTTTTCTATCGAACGTGTCGATCATAAGCAAATGGATTACTATATTAAATTAATCTAATCTGTTCGCTTTAGTAAAGAAATTGAGTGAGTGCGAATGATCGATGACTTCAATCCAATGTCTACTTCCTTTAAATTCAGAACAGTTTTTCAACACTGAATTTGTGCAAAGAGAAATTAAGCGCCCATATCACTAATTTTGGTCATGCCATAGTGATCTCATAAGCAAGTACGGATGACATTTTGACAATTCAATTAGCTTCAGTCGATTTGAAGAAAAACATGCGAGTGAAGAGTATTCAAATAAATATAAGATTATCAGTCATACATGCATGAGTCCGATGAGTTTTTCTATTGATTTTAAAAATTGGTATGCGTAAGCATATGTTTTCAGTGCTCATATTTTTATATACGTATGTACTGTTGTCGTGAATTGATTTTCAAGAATTGAAAATATTCGAAATAAACCACGACAGTATCTAGTTCAAGGTAATTTAAAATACTTTCGATTGAATGATGCTAAATCTGAAAGGAGGGAGGCCGATAAGGCCATTTTCTCGCCCCCAATATTTTTGCATAAAAGTCGTATATTTGGAATCAGCATAAAATTCTGACCAAGATGAGGTACTTTTATTTTCTGGAAAATGACTTTTTTTTTTTGAATTTTTTGCCCCTAGGACCCCTCAAGAATGTTGAAAATTGTTTTTTCGACAAATTCTTGTGAAAACTACATCATTCGATTCAGAATTTTATGCTGATTCCAAATATGGAGTTACAATTCATAAAATGTTAATTTCCATAGGAGAAATATTGAATTTATATGTAGGTGGCGCTAGCTATCTTATTGAGTTGAAGTCGTTGCAGTATTAAATGTGAGGTTTTGGGAATCAAAAAACTAACTCAGCTACACACAAAACTACCTAAGATCTAAGAATTAAAAATTTTATGAGATTCCAAATCCTGTTTTTCATGTGAAAAACTGTACTAATGACCAAAAACCTTGAAAAACCTGGCCTATATTTTTTGACTTTTATCTTTGGCCTGTAATAAAGGAGGAAGCAATTTGAAAATGATACAGCCTATGCAATTTTGGATGCTCTATCGAATGAGCCTACTTCAGTTTCAAAAGAAAAATATACTTTTTTGAAAAACAGTTTTCTTAGCCTCAAGGTTTTTTCAAAAATTTTTAATTTTCTTTAGAGTATCTAGTTTCATAGAGCATCAAATTCTGAGTAAGATGATATATCGCTCAAAATTTTCTGCTAATTTTTGTACGCACTAGAGGTTTCGACAAACGTGTGGTAAATACTCAGCGCGAAATATTTAGACTTTTGAGACTTTAATAACTCCATCCAAATCGGTTACAAAAATTTGAGTGATATATCATCTTACTCAGAATTTGATGCTCTATGAAACTAGATACTCTAAAGAAAATTAAAAATTTTTGAAAAAACCTTGAGGCTAAGAAAACTGTTTTTCAAAAAAGTATATTTTTCTTTTGAAACTGAAGTAGGCTCATTCGATAGAGCATCCAAAATTGCATAGGCTGTATCATTTTCAAATTGCTTCCTCCTTTATTACAGGCCAAAGATAAAAGTCAAAAAATATAGGCCAGGTTTTTCAAGGTTTTTGGTCATTAGTACAGTTTTTCACATGAAAAACAGGATTTGGAATCTCATAAAATTTTTAATTCTTAGATCTTAGGTAGTTTTGTGTGTAGCTGAGTTAGTTTTTTGATTCCCAAAACCTCACATTTAATACTGCAACGACTTCAACTCAATAAGATAGCTAGCGCCACCTACATATAAATTCAATATTTCTCCTATGGAAATTAACATTTTATGAATTGTAACTCCATATTTGGAATCAGCATAAAATTCTGAATCGAATGATGTAGTTTTCACAAGAATTTGTCGAAAAAACAATTTTCAACATTCTTGAGGGGTCCTAGGGGCAAAAAATTCAAAAAAAAAAAGTCATTTTCCAGAAAATAAAAGTACCTCATCTTGGTCAGAATTTTATGCTGATTCCAAATATACGACTTTTATGCAAAAATATTGGGGGCGAGAAAATGGCCTTATCGGCCTCCCTCCTTTTCAAAACTCATAATTCTCTGATTTTGACACATAGTATAAAACAATCCCTTAAGTGAATTTCTTATACCTTGTTACTTGAATAAATAAAATTAACTGCGGGCATAGCTAGATAATACATTAGTAATTAAGCCCCCACTCCCTCAAAAATTGATTTTCGCCTAGGAACGTTCAAATGGGCTGAAATTTGGAGGATATGTTGGGGCTATAGTGGAGAGTCTATGATAAAATTTTTATCACCAAATCATGAGGTTTAAGGGGGATATAGATCGAACAAGGGTTATAAAAATAGCTCTTTTGAGATCCAAAAGTTATCTGTTTTGATTCGTTCAACATATTTGATTTTTCCTTTATTTCTTTGAAAGAGCATGTCAAGACGCAGTGGATGCCGTTGTCATTTTTTTAAAACAGTTCTTTTTAAGCGCAAAAAAGAGATTACAAGTTAAAACATTCAAAAAATGGTGACCAAAATTCTGTAGTTGACCGTGGGTGTGGGTACACTTCTTCTCTGAAATCACGCCCTACGCCCCACACCCACACCCTCAAGATTCAGATTGAAGTATGTTTCTTTTATCTTTGCAGATTTTTATTCGACAGGAGTTTTCTAACACTAAGTTCAGATGAATAATTCATTATATAAGTCCAATAATGAAATTATCGTGCCAACAATGTCAATATTGGAACGAAATTTTAAATTCTTTGTTCTACTCATTATGCACATGCCATCGTTGTGTTGTTCAATGTTTATGTAAGTTTTATTTTTGAATTAAAACTAACTAAACAATGTTTGCAGTTTATACCATTTCAGATGGAATCGTTTAGCGAATCAAATTCTAGGTGTACTTGTTACTGTCAATCTTCTAACTATTCTATTCGAATTACCATTTACACTTATTTATTTACGCGATGGGTTCGTACGTAATCAAAAAATATGCCCTGGTTGGATCTTAGTGAATTATTCCTTATTTATTTTGAGTATAATTTTGATTGCATGGGCATCAATTGAACGGTATTTATTCATTTACAATGAACAATTAATTAAACGTTGCCGAATCTTATTGCATTATATTCCTATTGGGTTTTTCATTGTATACACGCCTACATTTTACACTGGTCTAGTGATATTTTATCCTTGCGAACAAGCGTTCAATCCAACTAATTACATTTGTGGTGGTCCATGCTATCTGTTTAGGATAGTCCCATGCATGATTGATTGGGGTACTAATGTCGTTCTCGTATTGCTTGTTACATGCTTTATGAATAGTTTTTTGATTATTTATAATGTGAAGCAAAGATTTCGAATGAGAGGATCCATCATCACTGCAGACAAGAGTCAACAATGGGTAAAAATAATAGACTTGACGATTCATTTCGTTTATTAATAATCATTGTTTTTCTTTGTTGCTCTAGCGTCGTACAATGAAATTGAGCATACAATTATTTTCTATATCCTCACTGTGCGTGATTGGATGGGTACCATATGGTGTTGTTTCAACGTTGCAAATTTTTAGCAATACAGACCTTTTGACTTTTCTTCTCTCGACATTTTTTATCTATTTTCCCTATGCACAAACATCATTTACACCTTATGTTTGTTTATTATTTATACCGGAAATCAAAAAGAAATTCAGAAGTACTTTACAATCATCCTGGTTTATTAAACTGATTTGCCATAAAAATCAAGTACATGTGAGCAATGATGAACAACTTAATACTTTAACTCGCTGTGATACAATGATTCGAACTAAAAAAACTGTTCAAGCACAACCTTTATAAGGCCGTTTACTGTGTAGTATTGTTTTCTGCTTTTCATTTTGTAAATAAAATCTACTTAACTATCAAACGATTTCTCCATAGGAGAACACTATGAGAACCGTTTGCTAGTTAGTAGCCTAAAAGTGCTGACTAGAATGTATTTTTAAAAAGTCATAAAGGTTCATCATAATTGTACACCTGAAGTCAAAACTCTAATAGAGAAAAATTTAAGATTATGAGAACCTGGATTATTTAGCACGCTATGATTACTAATTTGAATAAATCTTCAGATCATGTCAAACTAACTTGTAGCATTTATATTTTTAATTATAATATTTTCTTCTTCATGATAAATATCAAAATAAAGAAGTGAAGACTACAGTTGCTGTGTCAGGTTGAATGATTCTATAGCTCTTATTCAATTCGAGACAGAATTATCCTCCTGTCTATGTAGTTTATATGCTTGATAGATTCAGGGAGATCATATTTATTCTGGTGGCCTTGTTTTTTTTTTGGTAGTAAATAAAAGCAGCGTATTTTCAATTTTGAAAAGAAGATTTTTCCAAGTCTACAATAGTGTATCTCAATTCCACTCTCTCTCTCTCTAAAAAGAAATCAATTTTTTTTATCAAGCATTCGAAATTACTATAAATACAAAGATAGAATAGTCCAAAGTCGAATGTTTTTCAAATGGCACGATATGAAAATCAGAACCTCCTGTTTCTACGAAAATGTTTGCTTATTTATGTCATCACGTTCTCGGTAAATATGCCGTTCTTGAAAACAACAAGATATTGTTTTTATATTTTTCTCCGTTTATGTTTGCATGATTGTGCATGCAGTCACAATAGTCGAATAAGCTTAATTGTAATCAATGATCTTTCTTAAGAGTATTTTACTATACAGGGCGTGCCTCTACTGAAAGGAGGATATTACGATTACGAAAAACGAGTTAAATGCGTTCGTTCGTCTGTTCGTTCGCTCGTCCAATAGGAAAGCAGATGCATAAACTTAACTAACCTCAAACAATATCCTGCAGGGATAGGTTTGACCGAAGATAACTGGGGTCGGGGAACACGATGGCGTTGTTAGTTTTTGAAATTTTATATTTTGCCTTTTTTAGGATAGAGAAAGACTTTTTAGAAAAATATTAGTTTTTTATAAGGGTTGACCGAAGGTAATCGGGGTCGGGGAGCTGTAATCTGGCGTGAGATTTTCAGAGTTTATGATCCTCAACTTTTTTAATGAAAAAAGTATTTTTTCAAGAAAATAGTTTTCTTTGTAAAGTTTGATCAGATGCTGTCGTGCTCGAGAGAGTTGAATCGGATAAAATCAATATGCCATCAAAACAGAAAAAAGTGTACTTAGAATTAGAGAATCACATTTTAAAAAACATGATTATTAAAAGTGAATTGGTATAGTTTTTCTACTTGCAAAATAAAAAAAGAGATGATGAGAAAAAATCAACATCTTTGAATTAGAGTAACAAATTACTAACATGAATTACAGCCGTTTTGCTTCGCATTCTCATAGTAGTCGTAGGATATTAATGAACAAATTATATTTTAAAAAGATAGGTGCATCATTTTTATGATTTTCGATGTGGGTGTCCAGAACGTCAACACCCACACCCACACATCCCTTTTATCTCAATTTAAAATAGAATCCTAGTATGTTGAAATAGAATAATCGAAAGATCGAGCAGAGACTTAATGTCTCGTCTTCTAGTTACAGTCAGCATCGATTTTTTTAAAAGAAATTCATCACTTGACATCACAGAGAATTAAATTTTATAGAGATAAGAATTTATTTCGCTTTGCCATCACTCCATCGCCTTCTCGCTTACTGAATATTTCAGTGTTTCTATGTGCAGTTCCTTTTAATAGAATTCATATTATTACTCGTTTTGAGAAGCACGAAAAAAGGAGCTAGAGCAAATAGAGAAGATAAATGCTGTCATATCGTAAAATACAGATAAGAAGTCATCAGGAAAAAAATAGGCCAACGATGTAGGTAGTAAGAATTTTTTCCAACAATAACAACAACACTTTATTTATTTCGAATTCTGGTTCGTGGTGAGTAAAACATTAGAAGATTGAACCATCTCTCTATTATTACACTAAATACATGAATAGTAGAATGATGAAAGAAAGAAGAAATTAAAGACTATTTTATGTGAATTTGTGGTCGAACTTGCGATTTTACTCAATGATGTAGTTACAACATTTTGCCCCTTATTCAGTAACTATTTTTATACGTCAATCAGTCATGTTCAACACGCTATAAACAAACTCAAAATTTCATTTCTTTTTCTATGAAAACTAATGGGAGATCATAGTTCTAGTTTTCACTAAACCAGATTAGGATGAACTCATTTTGAATCCGATAAACTGCCTCTATTGAATGAAAACTAAAACTTCCATATTTTTTTATGAATAGAAAGTTTTAGCCAGCAGCTGTAAATTCTTGTCGGGTTGGCACTAGCGTTATACATTACAAAATGTTAGTTCGACATCAATCCTACTGATGATGTGGCTATTTCGATGGCATAGAATAAAAACAAACTTTAAGTTTTCTCTATATTCATGAAGTTTCGTCACCTAATAAAGATGAGAACATTTCAGCAACAGAACAATGTATCGGCTATATGAAGTGACTCCAATGTAGGGCTCATTTCATATAGAAGTCGACGAAAAACAATAGAGAGAAAGTTTTTTATTAGTTAATACAGGGTGTCTTTTGGTCATAGGTGTGTGGAAAATCTATCGTCCAGCACACATAAGGTTAGGAGTTTATACTATAAAATTTTTGTCAGGTGGCACTGAGGTAGAATGAGTAGAGAAAATTGCTGAAGTATAGATCAGTGAATATAAGTTTTTGAAACAAGTAGAGTAGTAATGAGATTTAAATGGATTTGTGAATGTGTTTTTACATAAAAGCAACCCACAAGACGTTTTTTCATCGTTGAAATTATGAAAACCAATGAATACACATTATTCTTACGATCATATTCTAACTTAAAAATACGTGTTGAAGTGAATATTCAAAAACAATAGAAAATATGAACACTATAATATTGAATTGATATTATATAACTTCCTTGTATTTCGTAGAAACTTTGCATCTATAATATGTACACTATATATTTACTTCTTCTCATATATTTCTGTCTTTCCTTGTGAGCGCGAGTCGGGGGAAAAGAGCGAACTTCTCGTACTTCTCGTACTTCTCGTACTTCTCGTACTTCTTGGCACTTCTCTGTACTTCTGTTAACTTCAACCTTAGGTTAAGATTTTTGTTTTTATTTTACTTGAAACTTTATATTATGATATTTATTTTTTTCCCGCGATTAAAACTAAAGTGTGAATGACACGCATAAAATCAAGTTCTGTAGAGTAAAGGGCAAAATAAAGTCAAAACGAATATAACATATAGTCAGCGAAAAGAACTGAAAATATCCCAGGTCATTATCGATCAGTCGGTTCTTGTCGGACGGGTTATGATTCCGATGTAATATGGTGACCGGATTCGGTCGATTAATTTCTGGTGAATTCCGATGATTTTCTTTGTTTTCTTAAGAAATCTGGTTACCGGATTCTCCGAGAGCCGGCCAGATTTACATTGCCGGAAAATATCAGGTCAGATAATCCGGTGAGTAGGACCGTTCCGTTCTGATATGATCCGATTGGTTCCGGTGATACTGATTAAGCCGGATCTACCATGAAATCGAGCGGCATGTGGCACGGCGGGTTCTGGTAGTTTCGTTACCGGATATTGTCGGATCACGTCGTATACGATCCAATCGAATTAGATTTTGTGTTTAAAAAAATATAATATTTAAATTCAGTCAAATGGGGATTAATCTGTTTGAAACTATCGAATATCGGTCACAAATGAGAGAAATCCGGTTCCAAGAGTAGTATTGGAGCGAAAACGCTTCACACTACTGGGAGTTTTAATTTGAAAACAGTTTTATTAGAAAGAGCACATTCAATAACGTATTTGGGTAAGAAAGTCTTTCTGTTAAACCTCGAAAAGCTACACTTCATAAAATTGAGAATAGCATTATTTCTATCTGCATGAATCAATTGGGACGGTATTTAGCATTTATCGATAAAACAAAATTTGAATATCTAAGTCGTTCTTATATACTCTGATAGACAAAAACATTCTGTATCGAAGGGGCCTATTTTCAAACAGTATAAATCGAATATT